TAAAGTCCTTCTTGGTACGGCTCTTGGGATCGAGGAAGCTGGCAAACGGACCAGAGTTGCCATCAAAACCCTCAAAGGTAAAGAGAATTATCAGATCAGATTAAATGGTGAAAATAATGTACCCTCCAAGTTTATGGTTATATCTCTAAATTGGTGTGTCTGGTAACGAATCATGAAGAGATTGGTAGTGGTCAACTACGTTTCAATAATCTTGAAAATTGCGATATTTTGATCGGAGAGGTGACCTAATGTGGCTTTATTCTTGTTATTTGAATTTTCAGGAGATTCGCTCTCAGGAACCAGTCACAATAGAACCAATAATTATGTCATACAGTAAGTCACCCAAGTGATTCTTGTGCAATATTTCCCACTGAGATGCACAACAATAACCAAAAATTTCTTTGTTTTTTCTATACTTGTAGACGGTGCTGACAGACAGGCGAAGATGGAGTTGCTGTCCGAGTTAAAGTTGATGAAGACAGTTGGTTCTCATCCAAACGTTGTCAAGCTACTGGGACATTGCACAGAATCAGGTTACAGATAAAACTTCACACAAGTCTATGGGGCCGTCCATAAAGTATTTAATGAAGCCGACGTTTCAGATAGCCCTTCACTAAGGAGGCGTATACCCATTCCATGTTGCCGATGGCGTAACTAAGAACAACGAGGGGCAAGGGGCCATGACTTGGAAATAGTTAGCCTTGTTGCTATTTTGATTGTGACTGAGCCCGTTCTGTGCGGCTCGAGAAAATTAGCCCCCGCCCCGCAAAATGGATCCCACTTACGCCACTAATGTTGCTCTTTGTCTTGCCAGACCGCCAGCAGTATAATGGTGAGATCCAAGTAGAAAGGGCGAAGGGTGATTTCATAACGATTATTGATGTGTACAAGCCGATCCCAGTGTTGATCAGGACGAATACTGTACTAGTTAAAAGCAAATTAAAGCTATTAAAAGCTAATTACTGCTCTTTCTCCGTATGCAATGCCACGGCCTCCTTCCCATCCTATCCGTGTACACAATGCCCCTGCCTATGACCCTCCAAATAATAAACAATGTACCTCACAGATGTCCCGCAGCACAACTACAGTGTTGTAGTCGAGTACTTCCGAGTACCAACGTTCTCCACAAATACTGAACTGGGTAAGAGGGAATAAAGCCAGAGTGCACAGGCATTTGATGGTAAATGTGCAAAGGTAAGATTACAAAATAAATGTTAGACTTCAGACACTCCCAGTTGTGTAAAAGTTAAGTTTTAAGGAGAAAAGTACTCGGAAAGTATTCAGCCGAGTACTTTCCGAGTACATTTGTCCTAAAAAGTTAATTTTAATCCAACAGTGATGGCCTGAAGTCCTTATGTTGCTTTGTAATCTTACCTTTATGCATGTACCANCTACATCACTGCACAACTATCTGAAAACACAACAAAATATCTACTGATAACAAAAGACCGAGTCATCCAATTTCCATACAAACCTCTTGAAACATCCCAAGCTTGAGGTAACAGCTCAAGCTAGAAAGAATTATCAAACCACAAGACTTGACGAATATAAAACTTGATCCATAATACGGAAAGTAAAAATTATACACATTTTCATCCATCTTGCTATCTCGCAAGTAGATCCCGTTTACATCATCGTCGAATATCTTGCCAAGGGTGACCTCAAGAAGGTGCTGTTGGGGTACCGAGACAAGGATCCTGGTTCGGGTTACTCCAACATACCTGGCTTGAGCAAATCTCTTTCACGGACTCTGGTCAAATTTGCCAGGGATGTGGCAAGCGGAATGGCCTTCTTGTCATCACAAAAGGTAAGGCGTTGACAGAATGGTTGTTAAGGTAAAGCATTTGAATAGCAGCATTTAACGATTTATTGTTTCAGTTCATGTTAGTTAGGAATTTTGCTTCAACATCTATTTTCAGTGAAAACATTTTTTTTCACAATATACCCTATTAAATCAAATCACTGGGATGCAGTCCTATAGCCTGCTGGGAAATTCAAACGACCCTCTAGGGATTCACATCGTAAAGCATATTTACTTTAGATTTGTCGTTGTTGAACAAGTAAGCTTTTTTAGGACTTACATTTATTTGGATGGCACTGAGGTCTTTTTTTCTCGAACATTTAGTGTGTGCATCGTGACCTGGCTGCCCGTAACGTGCTGGTGGGCGATGACTTGGTCTGTAAGGTGTCTGACTTTGGTCTGGCTCGTGATGTCATGAACACTCGCATCTACCAACGAGAGTCACAGGTACCATATACAAGATCACAATTTTCTGTTTTATACTTGACTTTCATTTGTTTATTAGAAACTTTAATAGCTACAGAGATCTTGTCGTTTTTAATAATGCTTCACTTCATTGGAAGATTTTTCTCCTGAAAAATACGACTGGATTAAATGAAATCCTAGAGGATAAATAATTTTCACGTTCAATTTTAGGGTCCACTCCCTATGCGATGGATGGCACTGGAATCCCTACTAGATGACGTGTACACAACAGAGAGTGACGTGTGGTCTTTTGGAGTTTTGCTGTGGGAGATCGTAACACTTGGTGAGTGACAAGATTCCTTTCAGGCCACCAGCTTTCTTAGGAAAGACATTCAATAACATGTACAAATTATATTGTCATATTAGAACGATGTAAAATGTCACTGTTAAGAGACTGACGTTAATGGAGTTAAGTTATCCAACTTGAATAATGATTCCTATTTTTACAGGTGCCAGGCCGTATCCGATGATGAAAGCCAAGACGATGGTGAGCCAGTTACAACAGGGCTATCGTATGCCGAGGCCCCAACACTGCAAGAAAGAGCTGTAGGTATTCGAAAGACGTTAGCATATGAAGAGCTATTACGGAGAGATTCCACCTTTTTTGAACATGAATAGAATATGTCGATCAGCAAGAGTTGATCTGCCAAAATGTTGCACCCAAACTGATGATTCTAAATAACCTATAGTATATAATGTAGAATGAGTGTAATGTGTCAGTGTTCCAGTTTGTGACTGAATTCATATCCTCCCCTCTGTATGTCCTGAATAAAAATTCATCCATGCAGAAACAAGCAAAGAACTAGCGAGGCGTTTCATTCCCACCCTGAAGAAAAAACAGGTTATTCTTACACCTAAGACATTTCCGACACAAATCAAAAAGGGGTCTGACAGAAAAACAGGAATTCCTCAAGTAGGAGTGACTGCAAAAACCAGTTACCTTTGAACATGTTTCCTCAGGTACGCCATGATGTGCAGCTGCTGGCAGAAGATTCCTGAGGACCGACCAACATTCCTGAGTCTGCACCAACAACTGAATGACATGCTATCGGAAGACAAGGTTAGCGACAATCACCTTTGGGTTATCATACACAGGATATATACCATGTAGCTTAAAGCTAAAACGATGTAACCTTCAGATGAAAGTATTCGTTGCAAAAGAAATCGAGCGTTTACTTCTTTACAGGATGTTTCTAAAATTGCTGTCAGAAATCTTTATTTCTGATTGCAGAATGAGTTGGGGTGAGTTAAATTCTTGTGTATAAACATTTTCATTACGTTTGCGTACTAACTAACGCAACATTTCTGTTTATAAACAGGACTATATCACCTTTCACAAGTTGGATGAAGGCATCTATGAAGTGACAATGATCGAAGCCAGCAATGAGAAACTGTGACAGCTGTATGAATTCGCTTCGATATTGTATCAGACTGTGTTGTCCGTGGTGAACTGCTTCTTCATTTAAAAAGTATTCTGAAACAAAGCTAATACGACCTTTGCTGTGGAGTTGTTACCATTTTGTGTTATTCCGTAGAACAGCCAATTAAAACATTTCGTCCAAGTAGAACTACCACGGATGATCAGAAAGCCTTTACTTTTATTATTAAAAGAAACCTGTATGTCCTTAGAAGGACACTTTTTTTGCTGAGAATGCCTATTCTATTAGAAATGTAAGCCCGTGTGGCTTTGTAGAAATACTTTTACCCAGCTTTGCAAACCTATGATGAAGAGTGAATTAAATATTTATGTGTCTTCAGACAGAAATTATACTCGGGTTGGGAAATGATAGATGTAAATTTCTAACTTTCCATTTAGTTTAAAATTTGTAGATTAAAATCGGTTGTAAATTAGTATAATTCACAATTCAGGAAATCGGATAAGAGAAATATGTAGAAAGATTCAGGAACAGAAATGTTTCGTGGACGCGTGCCTGTAATCCACTTTTACAAGGGATGTAACCGTAGTTTAAAATGGGTAAATTGATGAGTTACTTTGCAAACGTTTGAATATCTTTGATGCATGTTTGTTCTTATCTCTTGTAGGGAATGTTGGTTCTAAACAGAACTGGGTCTATTCAGAACCAATACTCATTAAAAGAGATAATTTTAGTTTAGATAATTTATATATGGTGTAATAGGAAACCTAATTTGTTGACAACTGGCCATGCAAAATTTCCAAATGTATCCAAAAAAGAAAAAAAAAAACAGACAAAAAAACGAACCAAAATAAAACACACCAACCCCCACCAAAGAAAACCAAAACAAACTGAAACAAAATACAAACAAAGAAGAATTGATTGTGCACGGTCGACTAACTGTCCAAGTGCAAAGTAATGATCACAATCTACATTCTACGTCACATCTTCTACCCACATGTTGTACATTTCAATTTTGTTGAAAGTACAGTATCATCGATGTAAAGTTCACAAGATAACTTATTCGGTAATGAGGTAGTCTGTTCAGCTTTTAATAATACTTCGATAACCCATGCACTTGTCCCAAGTGTTTAAGAGGCAAGGTCATGACGAGAATGAGGTAGTTCCGATTTTTGCTAATCGGAGAGAAAATGAAATGTGAATCCATTTTATGTTTCGAAGGGAGGAATTCAGACGGCTGTAGTTAGCTTCCAACATAATGCGCTTTTGACAAATTGTACTGAAATTCAAACAACTAAAGCACCTGGGTGGAGCCGGACATTTCAAAACAGGAGTTGGAAAAGGATTATTTTTCGTAAACTTGCTTTTAAAATATTACGTTGCAAAGACCGGGAAAAAGTTGGAAGACATTGACCCCAAATGTTCTTTGGTGATAATCTAAATCGCGTATTTAGTTTTTATTTCTTTGCTGTTTTGATCAGAAGGTAGCACTTGACAATAACAACATTGGGTGAAAAAAAACTGAAGTACTAGCCATTGTTGATTGTATGTTGAAAATCCCAGCAAAAAAGTGGGAAGCTTAATTGATAAAACATATAAAAGGCTTTCAGAAAGACTGACAAATATTAGCCCACTGAAAAATATGGACGCATTTTGTCTGCAGAAAAAAAGGTTTGTGCCAACTTCTGCTGTACTATTCGTTCTAACTTGTTTGTTAAACATGCAAAATAAACACTACGCGAAGAGTGAGTTCAATGACCTGACCCGGGTAGTCCGGCAGGTCGATTGAATTATGTGGATGTACAATCAAGCGAACCAACCTTATTTGTACAAGATAATTTTTTTTGATCGGTTCAGACATGTGCACGAGCACTGACGTTCCTGTTTTGACTTTTTATCCCATCAAAGCGCGATCTGGAGAGGTCAAAATGGTTCATATGGTGCGAGATATGGGGCGGAGAGAACCCTCCCCCCGCCTTTGTGTTGGTCACTGTTTGACCGGAATCACAGGAATTCTTTACAGGATTCTAGGGGATGTGTTAGGTAACAATAGTCCAGAGTGTGTATAGGGATTGGGCATGTGTGTGTGTGTGTGTGGGGGGTCCCATCGGCCCTATATCGTGCACGGTATCAAATGGCTTAGGTTCTCGAGATTCTACCATCGACAACTGCACTGCACATAGAGAAAGCTACAGAGGCGAGCGACCGATGCATGAGTACCCTATACGCCTTGCGCAATCATACTTATGTGAAGCATTACAAACTTGAGTTCAAAGTTCCTGGTTTTTTTGTGTTGATTCATTTCCTTGTTGTTTCCAACAAAGCTGTTCCCTGAATTAATTCGTTCATCAGTTTTCATTGATACGTGGAAACCGTGCACAGGTACTTCTTAGAGTATGAGCAACATGGGCATAATATGTCAGTTCGTGCTGCGGAGTTACTTCGCATTTGCTGTACTGTCACAGGGTAAGATCTTTTATGTTCATGTAAAGTACTTCGTGAGTCAACAAGTGAACATTGAATAGTCTATGATCACTAAGTTGAACAGGGAGTGAGGAATTTAGCGTATTTGGAAAATTGTTGACATAGCACAAATTCTATTGTATGGAGCTTTACGATGACAAATAGAAACGTTTATGAAGTATTTTCCAAACAACCAACATTTTCATAAGGTATATGTAGCAGACTCAATGCACCTGGCTGAAAACGAAATCAGAATATAGTAGCACAGAAAAAAAGAGAAAGATGGATAGATACACTTTAAAAATTGGATTATTAAGATCCAAACGCAGGATAAGATTGCACAGTATAAACCAAGTCATCATTCATTGACTTGCACATCACATACTTGGCATATTGATAACTTAAATGGACCTAAATTACAACGTCTCTGTTAGCTTTCTCCAAAATCGTTCTTTAGAGAATTGGCAGGTGTTTTTCTGTAGCATCATAGACATTTTCACCAAATATAAAAATCTAAAGTAACCAAGTATTTCATACTAAGTATGAAATATTGTTAGATATATGCACATAATTGGTTGAATATTTGCCTAAGAGAAGCAAACATATTTTATAGGCCGAAATCCATTTCATGTGGGCTGTAGGTGCTCTCATGGGCGTTATCCAGATATTTTCAAGGGGAGGGGGTCAAGTTCTCATCAGCACCAGAGTGCCAGATTTTCCAACAGCACTACAGATGTGAGAGACAGGAATTCATTTATAAATGTTCTACTTCAGACGAGTTCAGTTCATGACAAATACAGAAAAACAGGTTAGACTTTACACTAAGATATATAAAAGCAAAAATTGGCACCGAAAAATTCAACCGAATTGCTAATGCAGTCAAATATTAATGTGGCTAACATTTTGTAATGTGTAACATTATACTTTTGACGCTTTTTGTGTTCGAAGCTTCGTTTGCTGCCATCAATGACCTTGCGGACACAACGGTGGTGCGGGGCAGAGATACAACTCTGTTTTGTAGTAACAGTCAACACACGTCAGGCTTTGCCCAGTGGAGTGACATTACAGACCTGAGCAATCACATACCATTTGCTTCTCGTTCGATTGGTGTGTTGGAAGATCCTCCTACCTTTTCAAAGTACATAAATTTCGACTTGGACACAACAGTGAGTACACGATTGGATTAAAAAGATAAGCAGCGCTGAACTTGAAGATGAAGGGACGTACGCGTGCACCTTGTCCCCAGACACAGCGACGGCCACACTGACTGTGGAAAGTAAGTTTATTTAAAATCCTCTGTACACGTTTCGCATTTATTACTTAATACAATAAAATGTAAGAGCCCATATAGCATATGGTTTTTTAAATTCTAATTTCCAATACTGAACTTTATCTTAATTAATTCCATTTGTGAGAAAGGTTTCCTGCCACTGCTGTCTTAGTTTTGAACATTCTTGTAATGATTTCTCTCTGCTCATTTCACTATGTTTTGGAATATTTTGTAAATTAGGTAGACAATGATTAGGTAAGTAATGAACAAACACATAACCCAATTGCTACATGCACAATGTGTCGGGCATGTCAAAGGGACACTGCATCTGCATTTCAGAAAAAAATTGTATTCGAAACGGGGATATTTTCACGCTATTCAATTCCTTGACGTAGGCATACACTATGAGATAAACGTCTATTCTTCAGCTTTTTCAGTTTTTATATCAATCTTTGTCTACCTTGGGCAAGTTCTCAGGCCGAGGATTAAAAAGCACACGTATTAATGAGGATTTGTTTTTTTATGTAGTTGAAGGAGCTGTACCAACCATCACAATTGATGGTAATTCATCAAAGAATCCCATCGTCCTGAGAGCCTCTGAGGAAAGCGCGCTGAGATGCACGGCCTGGGGTTTCAGACCAGCTGTCAGTCTGGAATGGTACAGAAACAATGTTCAGATGACAACAGGTGTTGCTCAAGATGCAGCTTCCCCTAATGGAGATGGTACATTTAATACATCGGGCACACTGACACTCACTCCAACAAGACAAGATAATGAAGCCATCCTAGAATGCCGAACAACGGGACAGGTGGCTGCCCCAGTCAAGACAGCATCGCTCATTCTCAATGTACAATGTACGTTTTGAGTAGTTGAAATTTGCAGTTTCATTCTGCGAAGGTTTTGAAAAGCTTTCCCCGTTTAAAGCAAGAAATGTTTACATAAATATTCAAACATTACTTTTAACGGCAAGTGCACGTAGGGCGTAAGATAACATTTCTTCTGATTTTTGATCACTTTCATTGTCATTTTGGAAGGGGTAAGGAAAGCCAGCTCACTCCGTTCATGTACGTATGCATGTGTAGACTTTAATTTAAAACACAATCGTACATGATGTCATTTTTGAATTTTCACCCATGAAATATCAACAAGTGTCTGTTTTCAAGTTGCGTGCACTCATAAAAAATATTTATCTGTTTGCCACGTCCAACCGAAACAGCTTCCGTGTGCGTAATGCGTACTGCATATACTTTCATTAGTTGCAACGTCAGAAATGCAGTGGGGAACGTGAAGAACAACTAGATTATTTGGTCAGGATATGGAGCCCTTGTGGGTTTTGATTCTGAGTCACAAGTGCAAGAGTTTTCTGATTTATGATTAATCCTTCAATATTTTGTATGAGTGATATGGGTAAGGCTTGTTAATTGTATTGTACAGACATCTGGTAGTTTTACTTGTATTAACCATTTTTGTAGAATTTATCATAGGTGTAATTTTTCGAGCCCACAAAAAGGTTATTTTTGACGGACCAACTGTATTTCTGTGTGCATGATATTTTCTTTTCTGCAGATGTACCAGTCGTGTCAGTTGGGTATACCAATGGAGTGATAACTTGCTCATCGGATGCCAACCCAATGGCTATCAATCATAAGATCATCCTGAATGGCACTAACGTAGTGAAAGAATTCACGACCAGTCAAGGATCTCATCCATACACTCCAGCAGATGGCTTTACTGTCATCAGTTGCAGTGTGGCAAGCACAGCGGGGACGGGAACAGCAAGCTTTCCTGAAGCAGTGTGTCCAGGTATGTTAAAGCTACATTTTTTTTACCCATCCACTGGGAACCAACATGCTTGGCCTATATCCACAGGTAAAACATTATGTCCAAATCGCAATACCTCATAATAAAATGTTCTTTCTGGGGTTTACGAAGGGCTTCATATGACTTGTATTTCTTAACAGGATACGTGGAACCGCAACCCATGACAACAGATCCTGCGTAATTCCAATCGCCGATGGAGGCTGCCGGACAGACTACATATCAATTGAGACTGTTAGTTAATTACTTCTCGGGAGTCAGATGGGTTGAACTTAAAGGTAGCTCAAATGGAGGGGTCTCATGTTCTTGTCACAATTTTACTCCATGGCAAAGTCATTCAATCTCTTTTATCTTTAATGTAAAAAAGAGACGCAATGGTTTAGGATTTGATGAGGTATTCCAGCCTTTGACAAGACCAAGCCCCCTAAAAATGGCAGTGACCATGGTGTTTGGCCCCCGATCCCCACCTGAAATACATGCAAGAAAATGACAATCGCCCTTACTCAAGGTCATATTTATGTCAATGACTGTAATGTGACCAGCTTGGATGTGATTTTCAAACAAAAATGGAAAGGCCACTCGCCCGGATGTGATTTTGGTAAGGATTATCAAACATAACATCCACACCACCGAATTACGTCCGAGCCAGAAATCACATCCAGGAAAGTCCAAAATCACATCGTGAATTCGACTTTAACAACATACTCCAGAATGTGATTTCTGACTCGGATGTGATTTTGATGACTACCAACATCACATTTAAGTTCAATATCACATTCACCCAAGACACTTTTCCCTTCTCATGGAGAAATCACATCCAGGCCGGTCATAATGAGTAACCCCTCTTCCATCCCCATTTTTTGGACCTCTGTAAATAGGAAAGGAAAAATTGGACGACCAAACAGGAGAGAGGAAAGGATTTTGTTCAAGCATGTTTGATATTTTTAGGGTGCCACCGTATTTAGGTAAACATGTTTGTTTTGAAGGCTCAAGTCTGAGAGGATCAAATAGAAATTGATAAAAGATACAAAAAGAAAGATTCTTTGTCTTCGTAGTCTACGGCTTTCCTAGTATTTCTGTATATTTTCAAGGTGTGTTTTTTCAAGATGTATTTCTGTATAGAAGAAAAGTTCCAGAGACTGGAAAACCTTTCAGGTTGAAAAAAGGTACACTTAAAAATTACTGTTGTTGATTGCATTTATCCTATCCCACTAAAAAGTAGGCACGTGAAGTATTCAGAAAAAGCTAGACTTTATTGGAAGACTGAAGTATAATTGCCTACTTCAAACTACGGACATGATTGATCTGCTGATGAATAAAACACTCGTTGGTTGTGACGAGCCCCCTTCTCCTACTTACACAATAGCTTTGGTATGAAGACGGAAAGATTCAGTGCAAATAATCCTCTGACCTGACCCTAAGTTTGCTCCGTTGAACATGTAAATGTACAATTCAACGATCCATTCCTGGTTGTACAACAGGAAGTAACACTATAAGGAAGAGACATATTCAAAAACAGCAAAGCATTCGTATCTCTTAGCGCAGCTGCAGATTCTTTAATTTAGAAACGCTGTCTGACCGTATGGAGGAAACATGCGTGCAACGTTTTCCTGAAATAGCCCTTCCTTCTCACAAACCGAATTTTCTCCTTCCCAGACAAAAAGAAAGAGGATACCGCTCATGAAAGCCACAGCAGATGAACCTAAATGGGTGTAAAACAAATAGGTGTAAGAACAACTTTATTTCATGCCGTTTGTATAGCCTGCTGTAATTGAATTCATTTTCCTCCTCGCTTTTGTACCTATCCTTAGCTATTCAGACACTATGTTTGTATTTCTTAGAACTTAAAACTCAGACTCATCGTAATGGATTCTACTTGTGCTTTTGATTTTTTTTTATAAATTGATTACTATTTTTGGGCTTTTACTTGTGACCTGTACCTCACTTGTAATATATTTATAGAGCATAGTATGACTGAAGCCATTTATTAATCCTGGTGATTTTTGTATCTAGTACTTGCATATTTGTAAACAATCCAACTGTATCCAGGTTTCTTACAGTGTAATTTCCTTGTTCTGTAGTTGCAAATAAATAAATTAATAATTTATTACCACTGAAATTGGCCACCTTTTGAATTCTCTTTCGATTCACGATTTGGAGAGGTCACTACGGATTGCATTCCATTGTCATTGTTTGTTTAATAATTGCACTGCAAACGGATAAAAAATACAAAGGCGGCGAGCAGTGCATGAAGATCTGTGTTGCTACAAACCTGATGTAAACACACTTCTCAGAAATAAAATGAACTCGAGTTCAAAGTTCATGGCGGGTTTTCGTGGATTTACTTCCTCGTATTTTTGACACAGCTCTTTCCCCCTTAATTCGCTCAGTTTTTGGTTGATTATCGGATACTGTGAGCAGCTGCTTCTAATCCAAGTATAGGATGCAACGGTACATTCCAGTTTATTGTGCGGTGTGGCTTTGCAATGGCGGTACTTTCTTGGGGTAAGACTTTTTTACGGTTTAAGCACCGTATGCGTCAGTATACACCAACGTAATATACATGGATGTGTACACAAGTGCAGAAGATCCAGACGTTCAAAAGTCCAGAGGTGACGATTGAGCTTTATCATTGATCTAAACATGGAGTGATTGCGTATAAAAAGAAGTTGTTGAAATAATTACACTGTAGGAAGGAAGTGTGATAAAAGAAGTGTGATAAAAGAAATGAATTGATGCGACTAAGATAAACATTCATTTTCAGACTTTGATCTTTATAGCGGCCACTGCCGCGATGCCCCTGTGAATTGCCGTGGTGCTCTTTAAACAGCGCGTACCTTTCGGCCACTTGGCCGACGTGCCCCTCTTCAATAATCAGTAGTAGGCCTATATGTACATGTACATGTATTCAACTTTCAAGTTACTGTTTAGCGCTAGCATTTCTGTCAACGGCCGGCAGCTGCACCGAGCACTTTTTTCACGGGCTGGTTTTGCATTCGTTCAGACAGCATGGTGTGGCAGCCATATAAGAGTTGTGTGACTCTAAAAACGTGAAAATTGCAGGTTGAAAGTTAAACACCATGTTGAAATCAAAGGAAAGTCTGTTGAAGTCACTAACAAGCACGATAAATAAGAATTTCAAAGTGGCATTGGTGCCCTTTCAGTTGGCCTTGGTGCCCTTCGGTTTTTGGGAGCATTCAAGTCGAAATGTCGTTGTGTACATCATGCTCACAAAGGGTGTAGGGTTCAAGCCAGACCGAAAATTTGCAGGCAATGAATCTTCATCATATCAATACACATTCTCATACAAATAACAACCAGAATCAGCTCAACCGTCCGTCCCAGCATTCATCCTCAGTGGCATTACTCACGACACAAAGACTGGTTGCGTCCTCCAGAATTGTGAAATGCATACGCCTACAGGAAGGATAGGGGTACGGAAGGCCCCTAAATTGAAAATAGTTATCCCGATATCATGTAGAAAACAGGGGCTCAGAAAAATGGTGGTTGTATCAAATTTAGTTGCGCATGTGCACTCCACAAATAAAATCATTTCAAGCTAAAGATGCAACTCAGTTTCAATTATGAAGGTGTTAGTCATATTTGTGTTCAAGAATCACGATATTTCCCCCACAACCTGCAAGTTCCGTTTCCGCCTGTAATTAGTGGTTTACCTCCTTCGCTTACAGCAACAATAAGCCCAGATACTGAACCTTTTACTGTCTTCAAGATTGAAGTTTACTAAACTTAAAAAAAACCTATCTTTTACTTACCAGCATCACTAAACGGGAAATACTAGAAAAGCTGTGTCATTTATATTCTTCATGCTTCAGTGAGCTGGTTTTGTGATATCCAACATGTTTCCTCCTTATTGTTTGATCCTCCTAGCTTCCTTTGCTGCTATCAATGACCTTGTAGACACAACGGTGGTGCGGGGCAGAGATACAACTATGCTTTGTAGTAACAGTCAACACACGTCAGGCTTTGCCCAGTGGAGTGACATTACAGACCCAAGCAATCCAGTGCCATTTGCCTCTCGTTCAGGTGGAGTGTTGAAAGATCCTCCTACCTATTCAAAGTATGTAAATTTTGACTTAGACACAACATTGAGTACACAATTGGATCTCAAGATAAGCAGCGCTGAGCTTGAAGATGAAGGGACGTATTCATGCACCTTAAATCCAGACACAGTATCGGCCACACTGACTGTAGAAAGTAAGTTTATTTCAGCAGGGGGCGGATGAAGAGTTTGCAGTAAGCGCCAAAACTCCAGAAACGGTACTATACGCCACTGTTCTTGTGGGTTGAAAATTCTTCACGTGTGGAAACAAAATCAATTATCAGAGAAATCCCCGTCTCTCTACTGAAACCACGGATAGGCGACTGTACATTTTTTTCTGAATTTTTTCTCTGTAATTTGGAACCCGGCCAACAAAGATATTTAAAATATTGTTTCTTAAAGAAACAAAAAACAAACTCATGTATCGGGGAAGAAGTCCGTCGTACACGTTCTCTGAAATTCTTTAAAATGGTTCTTGCGATGTTAGTCTAATATTGATTATTTTCATGATATTCTGCTACGCGTTATTTAGGAGCAGAGCCAACAATTACAATTGACGGTGATTCATCAGGAAATCCCATCATCCTGAGAGCGTTGGAGCCAAGCGTGCTGAGATGCACAGCCAGGGGCTTCAGACCTGCTGTCAATTTGGAGTGGTACAAGAACAGTGCCCAGATATCAACGGGCGTCAGTCCAGAGGCACCTACTCCTAATGGAGACGCATTTGACACATCGGGCACACTGACATTTACGCCAACTAGGCAAGACAATGAAGCCATCCTAGAATGCCGAACAACGGGACAGGTGGTCGCCCCAGCAAAAACAGCATCGCTCACTCTCAATGTACAGTGCGCATATCAAGCATTTGCTTATAATTTGTAACCACATCCTGCAAAAGTCTTGACTGTTTTCTGCGAATCGCAAATGTAATGATTGGCTAATGGCGAACCCTCTTGATGTTAAACTGAAAATTGTGTTACGTGTAAATGTAGTTGTGAACATTGGCAAATGTATAGAAACAGTGCCAGTTGTATTGATTTGAATTGTCAAAAGCAGTATGGTTCCAAAGTCGCTGCGTTGTGTAAAAAGACAACTGTTTGCGAGCTGGTTAACCCAAAGTGATTGAGGTGTCTGTACGTTGCATGCACAGCAAGACCCTTGCATGACAAACCCTTCTGCTGACGTCACAGGCCGTGTACGTACTGGTGGATGGGTTGGGGTAGCGGTTGTTTTGTCCTCGCACTGTTCAACAGCAGTTTCCAACTTGCCTGTTTGGTAGGGAGATTTAACCCGCACATTTGTAGTCACACACTTTCAGCTGAATGGCAAATGCACAGTATGAGTAAGATTTTCAACAATTGTTTGAATTGTGATTAATTCCAATGTGTCTGTCTAGGGAGCAAGGGATGAGAAAGGCTTGCTTACTTTGTGGTAAAACACAGACATGTACTGTACAGACATCTTGGAAACATGACAGTAATTGAATTCGTATTGACACTTTTGCATAGAATTTGTGATATGTGTCAATTTGCGTTGCAACTATAGTCAAGAAAATATTCTACCTGTGTTCCCGTGTGCGTTTATTTTTCCTGCAGATGTACCAGTCGTGTCAGTTGGGTATGCCAATGAAGTGATAACTTGCTCATCGGATGCCAACCCACTGGCAACCAATCATAAGATCATCCTGAACGGTACTAACATTGTGAAGGAATTCACGACCAGCCAGGGATCTCATCCATTCACTCCAGTAGATGGCTGCACGGTCATTAGTTGCAATGCCACGAACACAGTGGGAACGGGAACGGCAACTTTTCCTGAAGAAATATGCCTGGGTAAGTAATCCCTGTGTTTGCCTCGACGCTCTAATTTTACCAAGGTTTTTCTTTATATTAAGTTATAAAGCTGAAATTGAAAATCAACTGAACATTCCACTTTTCTGGGTGGCCCATCAGTGTTGCACCTAATATGAGTATTGTCTTGACCGTCTTCATGTATACGTATATGTGGAATAGGGTGAAGTAAATAAAAAAAAATGAATTTCAAGTAATAAATAGGCTATAGTGATATTCCTGCAATTTTTAAAATATATCATCTTTGAAAACTGATATGAAAAGATGTTTGCTCAACCAAATAAAATATTGGACTGAAATGTCTCTTAAAAGTCATGCTTATTTCGCACCTTTTGATTATTTCAGGGTACTCATTTATAGATTTCTTTTTTTGATGTTTTCTCTGATTTTTTCCTTTTTAGTTTCAACTTAACAATGCACGCCATTCTCCACCAATTTCACAAAATGCTTTCAATTTAATGTTTCAAATCACTCTCTATGATATCCTACATGTACAAGTACTTTTTATGCGTCCTTATTTGGAGAATTGATGTATCTTTGATAAAGTTTGTTTTGAGATTTTTCGCTTTAAAGTTTGAGGCGCAGCCTTTTTTTCTTGTTTTTAAGCAAATATTATCCAAGCTTACTTCTTCAAGTAATTTAGCAGTTTTTGTTATTGATTTAATATGTCACCCTGTTCTTTTGCCCCCATAAACAATTTGAATGGCATTTTTTAAAGATACACCATTTCCCGTGGTGTAGACCTTCCTCAAAGATTGTGAGTGTAGAGGTCCTGACGTATCTTAATATATGCCAGTGCAAGCAGGGTGGCACCACACATTGAACAGATTTCTCGGTGAAGTAGTTTATGTTACAAATACAGCATTTTACCACATTGGGTGATGTTGACACATTGATGTATGAAACAAGCACTGTTTTCACGGTTGACTTGGCACAGGTACAAAGTTTAGAACTAAACATAGATTACGATCCGTC